AATCTATAAATTTTAAAAAATTACTATTAATAGAAAATGATATAATAACAGAACTATGTTTTTATTAAAATCAAAATTAGCTATTTTTGTGAAACTTATTTTTATCAATATTTTTGTTTGCTTATTATTATTATTATTATTATTATTATTATTATTATTATTATTATTATTATTATTATTATTATTTTGTTAAAGTGTCTGAACGGTGGGATAATTACTATATGTAGAGATATACATATAGATGCAAATGAAATTGGTATTTCTCCGTTTAGGCACAGCCAGTGCTGCGGTCGTTGCAGTTGGAGAAGAAGCCGCATCTCAGCCACCTCGCCGGGAATAGAAATAGAAGCACTTCTCAATTCACGTTTTGGCCTTCCTTTGATTCTTCCAAATCTGCCAATTCGCGCACAAACACGCTATAATCCAATTCCCTCTCCCCCGCAATTCCTCAATTCCACGAAACAAATCCCTAACCCACTCCGATCTACTCTCCGGTAGAAGACGAAGGGAGTGCAATGGCGGCTCCTAACATGGATCAGTTCGAAGCGTATTTCAGGAGAGCAGATTTAGACGGAGATGGCAGAATCAGTGGAGCTGAAGCCGTCTCTTTTTTCATGGGATCCAATTTGCCCAAACAAGTTCTCGCTCAGGTTTTATTCTGTTTCAAATTTCTAATCCAGAGCGAACGTTTCAATTCACTACACTTAAATTGCTTGTTTCGGTATGTCTTTTCCCTTGGAGGAATTGGATTTTCAGCATCGATGGTTATGCTTTGGTTATTGTGCGCTTAGAATAGTTTATTTAGGCTTTCGTCCATTCTTCATTTCGCTTTTCCTTGAAAATGTTTACCGATCTAGATTATTCTTGTGTAATGTTTCGTGTTCTCGGTGCGAGTTGCAGGTATGGGCGTATGCTGATCAGGCCAAAACTGGCTTCCTTGGACGCGCAGAGTTTTTTAATGCTCTGAGGTTAGTTACTGTGGCTCAGAGTAAGCGAGATTTAACGTCTGACATTGTGAAGGCAGCTTTATATGGTCCTGCTGCTGCTAAAATCCCTGCTCCGCAGATTAATCTTGCTTCTGTACCTCAACCTGTCCCGAATGCGAGGCCCCATGCTGGGTCTGTTGGGCAGATGGGTGTTACTGCACCCAATTCAGCTCAAGGTTTTACCTATAGAGGACAAGGGTTAGCAGGTCCTGGTGCAAACCCGCAATATTATCCTTCGCAGCAGAATCCTGCCATCCGACCTCATCAATCCATGCCTGTTTCCGGCGCTCCGCATCCGCAGCAGGGTGTTGCAGGCCCAGATATTTCTAGAGGAGTTAACACGGGGGGTCACAATTTCTCAAATCCTGGGCTATCAAATGATTGGAATAAAGCCAGGCCTGGTATGGTGGCCACCAGACCTTCAGGAATGAACCCGTCGGCTGCCTTACATACGTCACAATCTCCAGTCTCACCAATGCCCCATTCATCTCCAGTCTCTCCAATGCCACAGTTATCTCCAGTCTCACCAATGCCCCAGTCAACAACTGTTCACACTAAAGCATTGAGTGTTTCTGGAAATGGGTTCTCTTCCAGTCCAGTTTCGGGCAATGAATTTTTCTCTGCCGCCTCATCAACACCGAAGCAAGAACCTGCTGGACACAGTTATTCTGTTACCAATGTCTCATCAGCCATTGTTCCTGTTTCCACTGGTCCCCAGCCTGCAAATAAGCAAAATTCACTTGATTCATTGCAGGGTGCATTCTCATCGATGCTGCCTGCAAATAGTCAGTTTCAGCGGCCACAGTCTGCACCAAACCAGCAAATTAAACCACAAGCTTCTTCTTCTCCACATACACCATCTGGGATGACAGGTGGGGTTGGAAATGCAAAATCTGACAATGTGCAGCTTTCTTGGCCAAAAATGAAACCTACTGATGTGCAGAAATATACAAAGGTGTTTTTGGAAGTTGACACTGACAGGGATGGGAGGATCACTGGGGAGCAGGCTCGCAGTCTTTTCTTAAGCTGGAGATTACCAATAGGTATGCCTGTTTCGTTCTGACTGACCCTTTTTGATGTAATCTTCATGGAAGTTGGTACATTGATGTGTTGGCTTGTGAGAAACATAACAAGAACCATAGTCACCTTAAAATTATAGTTTTAGCTTCTTGAATTCAGATTTTTTTGGGATGGGAAGGGTGTGCCTTACTGGCTTTTTTGGTCGACAAGGAACAACCTACTGTGCCCTGATACTGGAATTTTTATTGGTTTTTACTGAGCAAACTTACGACTGACAATGCTTTATGGTGTTGAATGGTGGGTGATAAATTGCTACAAGAGTTTATCTCTTGCCTAAGATGATTTGGCCATGCGATGATAAGATTCATAGAAGTCTCAGTAAGAAGAGTTCATTAGATGGAGGATAGCAAAGTAAGTAGAAGTAGAGGAAGAACAAGGAAATTGTAAAATAATGCACTGAAAAATACCTAGATTTAAATTGGGTTTTGACAAAATATAATGTCATTGTTTGGTCCATGTTGCTGAACCCGCATAGCGAGGAAATGTTCTTGTTTTGAATCCAACGAACTAAATGAACAATTTCACTATAAAGGAATAAAGAAAGTAGGATAAGCATTCTTTCTTGAACAAACTTACCAAGAAAACTAGTATCCCATGGAAACATAGAAAACACCACTAACGTATGGTACACCATTAAAATAGAGGAGCTCTTCAACACTATTGTCTTCTTTTATTATTGTTATTATTTTTGGGTTAATAACAGTATTTATTGTTAGAAAGATTGGAGGTGTTAGCATAAAAATAATACAATCTCATTGTAAATGTAAGGGCAAAGAGGACGTCCTTGGAAACATCAGTGGTCTTCACTGACCATACTGGACAATTGCATTAACTACATGCCTTAAAGTTGTAGTATCCTTTTTCCATCAAAAACCTTTGAGAATTCGCACAAGTTGAGAGGAAACAGATTTTATTATTTGAGAATCCCCATAGAACATGAAGTATCAATCCCTGTTTTGAATACAGAGTAAAACTTCTCTTAATCTACTTTATTCAATAAGCCACTTGACTTATCTGAAATCAAATGCAACATTTTGCTGTTGTTATACTCTCCTCCCAAATATCATCTCACATTTTGTCACTTGTAATTTTTTCTCTCATATATATGCTTACACATATCTCTTTGTAATAACATCTCTTTGTAATAACATCACATGGATTTGCATGAGTTTAAATGATTGCAGGTTTGCAGTCCCCCACCCATTTTAATCCAAGTCATTCATACTATGAATTATTTTGTATGATAATGGATAGTTTTTTTAAGAAAGAAGGGGGACATAGATATTGATAATTTGAGAAGAGATATATAGTGGGTTATAGTTATTAGACCTAAGATCATCAACTACAAATTTATAAATGTATTTGGTTATGGAACCAAGAATCCTTATCAATTCCAAATCCTCATGTTTGACCTCAGAATCACAAAAATTCAAATTCCTCGGAGAATAACAACAAAATATTGATAGCTTGAGTTTCAGATGGATTCCATGATAGATGACAGTAATTTGATTTAGACCTGAGAAATAGATCAACTCAACATTTTGAAATTTACTAGGCTATGAACCATAAGAACTCTATTAAAGCCAAATTCCCCGTTGTTTTTTTCCTTCCTGGTGTTATGTTTGTTTATTTTTTAAGGGAAAATGACTAGACCTGAGATAAACTCCGCATTTATATATACATTAGGTATGAACCAATAGAATCAACCATTGCCAAATCTCATTCATCCTACATGAATTACTTATTTGTCAGCTAATTCATGATCTGCTATGTTAAGTAGAACATATTGGCTTGGCTCACATTATTATACTGTGAGGAACTTGGATTTTTAAATGGAAGATAGAAAAGAAAACATGACTTTCTTGACTGCAAAATAACAGAAATTAAGAGAGAGATCTTTCTTTTAAGGGGTTACTTTTGACAGACGATTTCTCATTTCAGTAATTCTATTTTGTTCTGGTGGAAATGGGGCGGAAGGAAGTATGAAGGAGAGAAATATAATAAAAATACTATGTCTACGCAGTTTGTTTGAAAAGACAAGTAGGAAGGAGGGAATCTATTTTCATATGAACCAACAAAAAGTATCTTCCTCCTAAAGTGGTATGAAATGGAAGGGGAAATGATCTATCTTTTTTGCTTTACTATTTAAAAATTATAATATAATATTAAAATAATAGTAATTTGTTTTATTTTATAAAAAAATATTGTATTAAAACTTCATACTTTTTAACTATTTTGAAATATTTTTCTCATAATTTGTTTATTTTTTTTCATTCTCTTTACCATTCATCCAAACAAAGGGAAAGAAATTCTCTCTTCCTGTTTCTATCCGTCCAAATGACATAACTTTTCTATTTTACTTCTTCTGTATTTCTATTATTACTTTGTATTTCTTTCCTCTCTATTTCATTCCACATCCAAACAAAGAATAAGAGTAACTGAATTCTCAAATGATATAATACAAGATAAAATATCTGTTCCTTTACGTCTGCCTCCTACTTATTTATCTCTCAAATGGTATCTAATTGACTTAACCCTTTTACTAACTGCAATAACTATCCAAACTCACGCCTGATATTACTACCCTCTTGAAATCCAACCTTGTTGGCTTTGTTGGAAATTTGTTAGTAAAAGTTGAATATCATCCTCCTATTTATTTATTTACCACTCAAATATCTTCCTACTAACTAAAATAACTGTCCTAACTAACTTCCTTACTTGATCAGACAGTCAGTTTCTTTGCTAAGCATGCTAACTGTCCTATTTATTCAATTCTCAAATGCTACTAAGCAATGTACAATGATAAGATGATCTTACTAGATTTGTTTCTTTACTATGTTTTTTAGACTGTTTCTTAACTTCACTATTTTTGAAACTTTCCTGGAGAGGGATGACCTTTTTAGCATTTCTCTGAAAGCAATAACGTAATCCGTGGACTGTGCAGAGGTGTTAAAGAAGGTGTGGGACTTGTCTGATCAAGACAATGATAGCATGCTTTCTTTGAAGGAGTTTTGCTTTGCTCTTTATTTGATGGAACGGTACAGGGAAGGTCGTCCTCTTCCACAGTCTCTTCCAAGCAATGTCATGTTTGATGAGACGTTGATGTCTATGACAGGCCAACCAAAAAATGCTCCTGGAAATGCAGCCTGGGGTATCAGCCAAGGTATTTTCTCTTATTTACTCTATCTCCAACATTCTTTTCTTTTTCTCTTATATAGGACTTCTATTGATGAGTTTGTCTACTTTTTTCCATCTCAAGGTTTTCAGCAGCAGCAACAAGGGATGCCAGGTGCTCGGCCAGTGGCACCAACTGCTGGTTTCAGGCCACCAGTCCATGGAAGTTCTGCTCAGGCTGATTTCACTACACAGCCCAACCAACAAAAGTCAGGAACACCTGTGTTGGAGGATGCCTTTCTGAATCGCACAGATAGTGGTGAGCAGAATACATCGAACACAAAGCCTCAAGATGCAACAACTGCAGAGAAACAGGTATTTGCTCTGCATTTATAATTTTTCTCCACATGTAAAAATATATTTATGAAAGTGAAGGTTATCCATAATGTTTTCTGTTGATGCTTTTTTTTTTTGTTTTCATCTAGGAAGATGCTCTGTTCTCCTATTCCTTTGTCGTTATCATTCCTTCATCTTAATTTATTTATGTTTGTTTTGAAGTTCCATTTTATAGAAATTGAAAATTATAAAACTCATCCTAAAGCCAGGGATTCAACTATATATCTACAAAGAAGTGTAAGGTAAAGAGACACCTTTGAAATTATGAGGCTTTTCTTTCCCAACCAAATACATAAAATAATTGTATAAATTGCAGCCTCCTATAAAACGACTGTTTCCTTGTTTCTGCCAAAATCTTGTTCCAGTAGAAAGGAAAGGACACACAAGTACAGGTTCACAGTTGTTTGGTACTCCCTTCAGAATTAATGATGATTGTTTGGTGGGTGGACCAAGTTAGTTTTTGGTGTTAATTATAATTTTACATGTAAAATTGAAATGAATTATGGGTCTTATAATATCCTCAACCAGATCTTTTCAGTTGTAAATGGTCTTGGTTCTCTTGCACATTTTTACAAATTATAAATAAAAAATGTTTGTTTCTGCCATTGTAGTCTGAAGAAGCTCAGAACGTTATTTTGGATTCAAAGGAGAAGATGGAGCTTTACCGGAACAAAATGCAGGAGCTGGTCTGTAATTCATGTCTTGTTTCTTTTATATTTTGATATTAGATTGATATTTTTTCTTAAGGCTTAGCATGGTTGAAATAAATTATTTGTAGGCTTGCCAGGCCACACCGCTTGTGGCTCACTTTCAAGTAAACCTGTGTTTGAAAATAAATTTATTGGCGAAGTTATGTGAACATGTTTAGTGTTGCTCGGATTTTACAGAAAATAACTTCTAAGCAAAATAGTTCTCTGGTTTATGCTAGTATAACTTATAAGCATAATACAAGCTAATTGACAAAACACAGAAAGTGTACCAGAGCTGTGCAATTTAGCTGGAGGGTTTGGTTTGCTATGACAAATGCAAATCATCCTACCAGTGACGGAACTTTAGGGTTTTATGGTTCTAGCTAACCTTGGTTGAGGCCTAGGAAATGATTTCTGGTTAGGAAGAAGACTGGAAATTTTGAGGGCAAGGAACCACTTTCTTTCAACCCAAGAAACTCTAATTGGAATTATGCACGCAAGGAATAGATGATTTTCAGTAAATAAAGTTAAGGTTGATATTTTAACCGGATCTAGTTAAGGATTTTATTGGGTAAAATCCAATATGATATTTTTAAATATTTTTTATTGCATGATATGAATCTGATCATAGAACTATGAAGCACTTACTGGCTCCCCATTTCCCCTATTTTACTTGTACTTCAGGTTCTATATAAAAGCAGATGTGATAATCGATTAAATGAGATAACAGAAAGGGCATCTGCGGATAAGCGGGAGGTATAATCCTTTCTTCTGAAAACGTGATGAATGTTAATGTTAAAAGAATTAGCTACCATGTGGTGGTTTGTTACAGGCAGAATCATTGGGCAAGAAATACGAAGAGAAATACAAACAAGTAGCCGAAATAGCATCAAAATTGACTGTTGAAGAAGCTAAATTTCGTGATATACAGGTAATTAGAAAATCTAAATGGTTCAAAAATAGGCTATTTGTAAATGGTGAGAGTTATTGCTTACTTAGTATGCACTACAATTTTTGTTGCATTGATTGTTCTTATGTTATTGTGAAGGACTAACAAATTAAAGTTTAAGTTGTTAGGGCTAAAGCTCAAGAGGGTTTTATATCTAAAAGCACTACCCTGGCTTGAAGCATGCATATAGGCCCGACTCCACTTATTTTTAAGCCTAAAGCAAACTTTGTACGAGGCCTTTCTAAAATAATCATGTTTTATTGACAACAAAATAATAGCAATATTTTATTAAAAGTTTATTTTTGATTTTGTTTCTTGATAAAAAATCATTTTATTAGTTATTATGATAGATGAGGGATGGTAGTTTTCACTACTAACATGATTACATGTACAAAATCATATTAGACAAAAGTTAAAAATTTAACATAGGAAACAATTTTAAAATTAATAATTTAACAAGTTTACATTAACTAAACTAAACAGATATAAAGTTGACAACTGTACCAATCCTGTAGCGTTCTGTGCATTCTTATAGCATGAAGTTTGTCACCTTACTGATTTTTTCTTTTCAAGAAAAAGTTTTCTTAGATTGGAGATCATAACAGTACAATTCAAACAATAGATTCACTTCAGAAAGTAAATTGAAAATTATTGTCATGAATGAAAGGTTTAACCACTAAAGTTTATTATGTATGTGCACGCATTTAATTATAACTACTGTCAATTCAGCACTTTGAGAGGCCTTTTTCTGTTCAAAGTAATGTTATTCTTAATAGCCTTGTATCATTTATAAAGTACGTATTATTTTTTTTTTCTTAAATATTATTACTAAGTAAAGTTGTTTCTCGGAGGCTTAAAGCAAGGGCTTCATTGGCCTCGCCCTTGCCCAAATCTGCTTGCGTAACATGTAACCACACCTTACACTGGGCTAAAATTCAACTTTTATTTAGAATGGAGTTGAGAAGGATCAGACTAATGACTACTTGTCTAGGACCAAATGTCTTAGTAGCTTAAATTGTGATGTAAATGCTGTTTTATGGTTTCATATCTTGAAGAGTTCCTTGTAATCTTTGTTGGTCTTTTAGTGGATCTTCTTTGTTTTGTTTGTAGAGTTTGGAAGCAGGCCTGTTCACTTTTGGCTGCGCCACTTAAATTTTGTAACTGTTTCTCTTCTTCCTATCGTCTGTTTGCATGATAAGAGAGTGAAGCTCCCCACTTCTTGTAGAGTAGTCAAATGAAAGTGAATGTGAGGGAGAGTGGAAACCTGAGGAAGCATGTAGTCTTCCACGTGTATTATATTTATAGGGGATAAATTTATTTATGGTCCTACAATCTAAAGCATAAACGACAAGTTCTTATCCACTATGATCAAGTCTACAACCTTTTTCTCCTGTCATTGCAACAATAAACCTGTCTTGGGTGAATTATGAATGTCTTGAAAGTTGAAACATTTCAATTTTCAATGCATCTTTAACCATTAGTCTGTTCATACTTAGGAAAGGAAGGTGGAACTGCAGCAAGCCATCATCAAAATTGAACAAGGAGGCAGTGCAGATGGCATTCTTCAGGTGAATTTTATTTTTGGAATAAAGATGGGGAGTTCTGGGGAACCTGTTTTGTGCTGTTACTGATGTTTAGCAAAATCCACAGGTCCGTGCTGAACGCATACAGTCAGATCTTGAGGAGTTATTTAAGGCTCTAGCTGATCGGTGCAAGAAACATGGGATAGATATGAAGTCAATTACAATGGTTCAGCTTCCTGCTGGTAATTAGTATCTCATTTTGTCTCATCATGTCTTCTTTTCTCGATCAATTATTTTTGTTCTTTGTCAATTCTCAAGATATCATTGGGTGCAACAAAATTTGTGATCTTATTTTACTCAATAGGGCTTTGTGATTAGTTTAGTGTGATTCTTTAATATTAATGCTTCTGTGGAAGCCTCTTTTTGTGATCTGTAAGACTATATTTTTCGCGAACCCTCTTTCAAAAGCAAGGGCCATTGCATATCAACTGACTGATAAATTTACTTATATTTTTACAAGTGGGAGCATTACTCTCTGATTTACTTTAATGTGGTTGTGTTGGTTGTGTGTGTATGACCTAATGAAACATAAGGTGGCAACCTGAATTCAGAGGGAGCTGCACTTTGGGATGAAGACTGGGATAAATTTGAGGATGAAGGTAGCCATAATCTTTTTTTATTTTATCCTTACATAAGCTATTTCCTTTTTTTTGGATGAATTAGCTTGTTTCATTAATTGCGTTGTTTACTTCTAGGATTTGCCAATGATCTTACTTTTGCCACCAAAAATGCATCTTCAAAACCAAAACCCGTATTTATTGACGGAGAACAAAATTTCTCTGATGATAACTCTATTCACGGTTCACCTATGAAAGCAAACGGGAAGCAAGAAAACTCTGCTAACGGTGATTATACAGTTGAGGATTACGCACATAGTGAAGAAGACCTGGCTAGAAGCCCCCACGATAATCTAGCTGGGAGGAGTACCTTGGAGAGTCCTTCTCATGTATTCTCGAATGCTGACTTTGGAAAAGGTTCTGAAGCAGATGCAGGCAGAAACACATAGGTATTTTGTTTTATTTTTGTCTCCAGGGTGTGTTTCAGGGGGAGGGGTTGATTTGTCAATTCCCATTTTTTTTGTTTCTGAATGCATGGCTTTGAGTGTGAGGCATCTATCTAGTAATTATGACGTTATAATCTATGGCAACAGAAGTTTTGACGAATCGACCTGGGCATTTGACAACAATGATGATGAGGACTCGGTGTGGGGTTTCAAGACCAAGGTAACCCTTTCTATATAAATTTTGTGATGTTCAGGATATTAACGTAATTAGTCGCTGTTATTGACTAATAATTGTTCTCGGGGAAATTCTTGAGATTAGGAGGTCTTTTTTCATTATAATTTTTGGAATCGATTTCTTTGCACTTTTACCAAAGAACAGAAGGGACGTGATTTTTGAAAGATCAAGTTGCTTTGATAAAAGCTACTACGCACTAAATTTTTTACGTTCTGTTTGTAGGACTCTGACTTCGGGAGCAGGGGGAGATTTCTTCAAATCTGATGATTTGGTATAAACCCAATCAGAACAGGATCTACACATAAGGATAGCACGTTCCAGAAAAAAGGCCCCATTTATGTTGATGGAATCAGTGCCAGCACTCCAGTTTCCCAGTTCGGAAATTGCCCCGGATACAGTGAGGCGGGGGGATAATTTCTTTGACATGTCAAGGTTTGATTCCTGCAGGCACGAAAGTGATATTCTCACGCCAGAGAGGCTTACGAGATTTGATTCCATAAATAGCAGTAAGGATTTTGGCTTTGGTAACGATAAATTCACAAGGTTTGATTCCATAAGTAGCAGTGAGGATTTTGGCTTTGGTAATGATAAATTCACAAGGTTTGATTCCATAAGTAGCAGCAAAGATTGGCAAACGTAATGATCAATTCACGAGGTTTGACTCCACAAGTGGTAGCAAGGATTTTTGGCTTACAATCCTAGAAGCTCCAAAGGTTTGATTTCCAGGAGTAGCAACAATGATTCGGTTTCGGTCGACAAGGCCCATGCAAGTGTTTGACTCAATCAAGTAGCACCAAAGACTTCAGTTCCAAGTGGTGCATTCTCATCGATGACTCTGATGCTTTTGGCTTCCTCTGGCCCTTTTAAGGTCTCTTCAGAAAAACCATTCTTACAAAAAAGGTTCAGATAACTGGAGTGCATTCTAGCTTGCATCCAACTCTTCCCTCCCGGGTTTTCTTTGTTTCCATTTCCTTGATTGTTCATGATAGCCTATTTTTTTTGTGTATAGCTAGAAGAAGAAAAGCTGGACGGTAACATTATATTGTGTGATCAATCTATCTGTTTGAAGAGAGTTTTTCCTCTGCTTTTTTTTTTCTTTTTTCTTTTTGTAATGCGCGGACGAGTGTGAAAGATAGATAGATAAAATTAAATGTCTGGTTGTGGTATCATGGATGATACTATTGAGTTTAATGGCAATTGCATGCAAAGTTTTTGTTTCTTTGTCTCATTACATGCATTTACGTATCTGCTGCATTCCAATGCCATTTTCCAATGCTTCTCAGTTAACTATTATCACAGACAGAATAACTCAAACACCAAAGCACATTGCTCATTATATTTTTACTGCATGTCGGAACTAAAATAGTAGTCATGGATTCCGTTCTAAGCATAAACCAGAAAAATCAAACAACAAAATAATCCATCCATAAAAAAATAACAAATGAACTAAAAGTTTATTTGAAGTGTACGTTGGGGAGAGTAAATATTACTCTATTCTCAAAATTTGAAGTCTGGTTACATTAAGTCCTTGTTGAAATTAAATTATGTTGAAACATTTAAATAGTTAATTCAAATTCACTATTTGGAATACTAAATATACGGGACTAAAAACACTATCATGTATATTTTAAAATACGTAAATAGTTAAATTCATTAAACTAATTCGCATAGGCTTTTTTTTTTCAAAATAGAACGGTTCCGGAAAAATCTTTCTATATGGTATATTTAGTCAAATATTTATTTTAAATAATTTGTTTACTTTATATTAGGGAATGTGGTAAAAAAAAATTTCAAAGTAGTTCGAATATATATTTTTTTCAAAATCAATGATTACAAGATGATTCAAAAAACTGTTTTGTGTTCACTATTAAAATTAGGTTGAAGTATAATTGTGACCATCATTATAACACATCCGACTTACTTTTTCAATTTTTGTAATTAAAAAAACAAATTATAAACAAATTAAAATATAATAATAAAAAATAACTAATATTTTATAACATCTGTAATCTTTAAAATTTATTTTGTAATAACTTAAATAAATTGCCATTTTTAGTTAATATTGATATTTTTGTTAAAAAACTATTAAATTATTTGATAAAAAATAAAAATTAAATTAATGATTTGAGAAATAACTAAGCAACTTATTAAATAAGTATATATATATATATATATATATATATATATATATATATATATATATAAGTATAATAAACCTTGTAAATTAAATAAGTATATTTGTTTGATTTAAAGATTGTATCTATTTTTGTCGTAATGTTGTGTTAAAATTAAAGTGTAAAATTCATGAAATCAATTTTAATTAGGATTAATAAAAATAATTCTATTTGTGTGAATATTATAAAGGAGTTAAATAGGTTGTTGTAGTCCACGAAACTATTGGTCGTTTCGGGTTTCGTTTTCCTCTTCAAAGTAAGATACAATGGTCCTCATTCTTTTCGAAACGTTCGTTTAGTCCCTCGGAATTTTGGTTTTAGTCTCATTTTTTGATAATGGAGGACCAAAATTTTTAAACGGTGTTAGTTTCGAGGACTAAAACGAAGTTTTCGAAAAGAATGAGACCAAATTGTACCTTACTTTGAAATAAGAGAGACGAAAACCAAGAAAACGGACCAAATAGTTTAGACTAAAAAACATATTTAACCCTATTATAAATAGTATATAATGTGGAAAAATATTATTTTGGAAAAAAAAGGTTTCTCGATTACGAATGCATCATGCTGAATACTCAGGTTCCCCGTGAGTGGTGAAAAAAGAAAGCGATATTTCACGTTCTGTGTTGTTGCTGCTGCTGATTTTTCTTTCTCTATTATGTTCTTCCACCTTTTCAAAAATGTTGGTGTTGTTTTTCCACCGTTTCACTGCTTATTTTTATTTCTTTCTCTATTCAGTTCCCACCGTTTTAAAAATGTCGATGTTGTTCTTCTTTCCTGCAATGCAACTTAATCACGTTTCTATTCTGACGTAAGACATATCGTCACTTAGTTTCATACGGTTTAAAAGTATCATGTGTCGTGAATTTTAAAAGAGGGTTTAGTTTTAATGTCTGGCAAAGTTGTGAAAGTATGATGGTCAAAAATTTAGCATTTAACAATAACAATGTAACTAGTATTACGTTGAAATATCGTATAATGCATTAGTTTAATTTGGTTGGTCTCATTTATTATTTTTGTTGGTATTTGTTGGAACTTTTGGGAAAAAGATTAAAGAATTGGGATTCTTAGGGAATTAGGAAAAAGAAAAAGATTTTGAAAAGGAATTAGAGGGATTATTGGAGATTTGGAATTGAATTATGAAAAGATTAATTATGTTATTTAAATATGTTAACATTATTATTAAATTGTTAAAATATAATCACCATTCTAATATTTGTCATAAAAAACTTATAAATTTATAAAAAAATATTTATGTCTAATACTAAAATTAGTAATAATTTATGAAGACAAAATAAAAATTTCAAACAAAACCAAAAAGATTGCTCTTTAGAAATATTTATTTGTAAATAACTATTGAAAAACACATGTTCATATCCAATTGATAAATAGAACATATTGAAAAGCTAAATAAATTAATAAAAATCATGTGTCACTGAAAAAGAAAAGCGGATAACAGAAAAGAGATTAAGAAAAACTATAACGAAAAGAAATTATGTACAAACGGGAAAGAAAAACCTTAGAAATGCAGACCAGTGATATAATTATCGGGTTTTCTATTTTATTTTTTTTTATGTTTATAAGAACACTTTAAAGCACTTATTATTAAAAATTAAGACAAAATTGGTCCTCTCTAGAGATTAATACAAGTTATTTGAAACTTGAGATTCAACCATAATATGGATTTAATATAGAAATTTTCTGCAAAAATAATAATAATTTAAATTTAGAACACTATACCTAAATTGTCCGGTATTATTTTATTAGGAGATTATATGAGCCAAGCTGTATTGTTGGTGGGGCAGGTGGATGATAGCCATCTTCTCCTTTCCATTTGTCTCACATCCTCACTGTAACAATCCAGTCAATTCTCTCTCCCCATCTTCTATTTTTTCTAAGAACAATTTTTTGTTCCTTTCTTTATATCTTTATGTTTTCTTTTCCCAAGTTTTTCAATTTCTGCTTTCTTATTTTTGGTGTGTTTCTCTTCTTCTACTCCCTCAACCTCTGCCCCTCTTCTGCTCCTGCAATTCCAACTCTTTAGCCATGCCCCAACTCCAATTACGCTTACCCGTCAACTCTCTTTCAAGGGTTTCTCTTTAATTCTCAAATTAAATACTAAAAGTAGGTTTTTTTTCTTCTGGGTTGCTGCTTCTCTCAGCTTGAACACGGGTGCCCTTCTTGCTGTTTATTAGATTGCCGTCGTTTGCGATTTGCGATGTGTTTTTGAAATCGTTACTATCCGTTCGTTTTGTTTGTCTGTGGTCGTTCGTTGTCGCCCAACGGCACTTACTCTCTACTCTGTCAAGAGTTTCTGTTTTTGATTGAGTGATGATGATTACTTAAAACACCATCAGTTTCTGTTTAAAGGAAGGTTAGATTGAAGTAATTTCCATCACCCTGTTTTAAATCATGGGAATACGCAATTCTGGGAGATCTGTTTGTTATGTTTCTTGGTTGTTGGTATTGGGGCATTATTGTAATTAACCTCCGACACAATTATTAGTTTCTGTTTCTGTTCGAGTAGCTCGTGCTTTTCTTCCATTGGTTGAACATGTTATAAAATATACATACTTCTTCAATTTTCATGCATAGTCACTTAGTGTCAATCAATTACAAATTATCATTATTATCATTATTAACAGAGTTGCCTTACAGTCAAATCATTCAGGGTAGTAAAGTATAATTCTATATGAATGCCACACTTTTACATCAAATTTGTTTGATCTTGCATATATTGCAAGCTTGTTGGCGTTACCTTAACCTTGTGTTGTTTGTGACAACAGATCAGTGGATTTACCATGGCTGCGAGCTGGGATGGAAGTAATGACCCTGGCAGCCAGTCAGATGATAGTTTTCATTTTGAGAGGTTGCACATTGAGCCTCTGTATGATGCTTTTGTATGTCCATTGACGAAGCAAGTGATGCGTGATCCTGTTACTTTAGAAAATGGACAGACTTTTGAACGTGAAGCAATTGAAAAATGGTTCAAGGAGTGTAGGGAGAGTGGAAGGAGACTGGTTTGCCCTTTGACTCTTCAGGAGTTAAGAAGCGCAGAACTGAATCCAAGCATGGCTTTGCGTAACACCATTGAAGAGTGGACTACCAGGAATGAAGCTGCACAGCTGGACATAGCTCGCAGGTCGTTGAATATGGCGAGTCCAGAAAATGAAACTCTTCAGGCCTTAAAGTATGTGCAGTACATCTGCCGAAGAAGTCGATCAAACAAACACACTGTCCGCAATGCAGGGCTTATACCAATGATTGTTGACATGCTGAAGAGTGGAAGCCGTAAGGTTCGATGTAGAGCTCTGGAAACCCTTAGAGTCGTGGTAGAAGAAGATGATGAGAACAAGGTTTGTCATAGTTTGATGGTTATCATTTCATTTCATTTCATGTCATTACTTGTTTTTGGTATCATAAATGTACTGTTGGCAAATCCATGTTGACATATTCTATTTGCTCCAAAGGAATTGTTGGCTGAAGGGGATACTGTGCGTACTATAGTGAAATTCCTTTCCAACGAGCTTTCTAAAGAAAGAGAGGAGGCTGTCTCCTTGCTTTACGAACTCTCGAAGTCTGCTACCCTCTGTGGGAAGATTGGTTCAATCAACGGAGCCATTCTAATATTAGTAGGGATGACAAGCAGCAATTCAGAAGATCTTCTCACTGTTGGGAAGGCTGAGGAAACATTGTCGAATCTGGAGAGGTATGAGGCTAATGTTCGACAGATGGCTGAATGTGGTAGATTGCAGCCTCTTCTTAGCCAACTTCTTGAAGGTACTATTATTCTGTACTACCATACGCATGTTGTGTGGCTAAGTTGCTCACCATTTCATGTTAATTTTCGAAAGAGCATAATTCGCTAGACTAGCGTATTACACATTTTCTTGTAAAAATGATGTGCATGGGTTTTCTTTCATCTGATGTTTTGGAATTATTTGGAGGGCAAATGCAAAAATTATATTTCTTGTATGTATATTTCAAGAATCTCATGAAATGAACATTTGGAGCTTTTGAAAACAGTCTGACTTGCCATAGATTGTGATAGGGACTTAGGTATTATCGGGTGTCTAAGTCTCATATTGAGTAGTATCGGATGTTCGGTGAAGTCTCTTCTGAAATAAGGTTTCACCGCATCACTCACCTGTTCTATGCATGCATGAATTTGGTTTTCCATTGTTATGTTTTTAGTCTTCTGAAATAGGGGCCATGAATGTGTTTGGTTGTTTCATTGTGCCTGAGTCAGCCGTAGCGAACCAAATAGCGGCTGTTATAGCGGAGCTACGTGATGAATCCAAAAATCCTAAATAGAGACGTAGGGCTTTTTCTTGGGGTTTTAATTTCCAATATTGAAATCTATGAAATAATTGTGAAAATGATAGAGACTTGGATTTAGAAGATGATGATTGATAATTCCTATCTGAGAAACTTGTATTTGACTCTTTACTTACATGTTTTATTTAATAAACCTAAGACTTTCTATTTTTAATTATGAATGCTATTAATTTTGAGTTATTTTTTTTTTAGAATTTATGTGTGCGCTATACAGAACTATACAAAATGTTTAAAGTAGTGACTATACATTATCTTACTATGGCGCTTTTGGAGTTAGACTATACAATATCTTACTATAGCGCTTTTGGAGTTAGCTGCTATCCTGGATTTAAAACATTGCATTGAACACTTACAACATTTATACGATAATTTTACCTGTTTTTCATTGTGTCTTCGAATCTTATGATTTGATCCAGCTAACTTTTCATGATTGAAAAACCAGCATGTTTTATCATTTGACTTGCAATTCAACAAGCTGCACAAGTGTTGTTTATTTTGAAAAATTTTCAGACACTTCAAACAAATATTGATATCACTTATGATTTTATGTACTTTTTATTTTTCTTCTATGGCTGATTCGGAATATCTTCTTTGAGGAAAACAGCTTCCGTGAGAATATTTTCGGTTCAGAACTTTTGTTGAAAGTGATACATCGTCTTATATTTTTTTTTTTGTTTCTTTATTTTTATTTTTTCTTTTTCTTCTTTTATATTATAGTTTTTTTTTTTTTTTAATATTTTTTTCTCTTTATACTTTATATTTTATTTTTTTTTTTTATTTTTTTTTTTATTTTTTTTTTTTTTTTTATATATTTTTTATTTTTTTGTTTATTTTTTTTGTTTTTTTTTTGTTTTTTTTTTTTTTATTTTTATTTTTTTTTTTTAATATTTTTTTTTTTTTTTTTTTTTTTTTTTTTATTTTTTTGCATTTTTTTGTAATTTTTTTATTCTTCTTGTGTATTTCTGTGATTGTGGGTACTTTGATCAATTTCAATAATATCTTTGCGTTGCGAAAAAGATTAAGATATCATTTCATGGAAATATTAGAGAATGTGGCCCAAGGTAAATTAAATTTGCATTGTGGTGGTAATGTGAGCGTGTTCTGTTAGATTTGATCAATTATTTACATTAAAAACCCTAAATATTTGGCATCAAGATTGGTCCCTTGCTTGTAGAACTTCATATTCCATGCGGGTATCAAGTTGTTTTCATTAAAATGTTTGCAGGTCCACCAGAAACCAAACTCGCCATGGCGGGATTCCTTGGGGAGCTGGTTTTAAACAATGATGTTAAAGTTCTTGTTGCTAGAACTGTGGGTTCATCTCTGATCAATATAATGAAAAGTGGTAATATGCAATCAAGAGAAGCTGCACTGAAGGCACTAAATCAGATATCATCATGTGACCCAAGTGCAAAGATATTAATAGAGGCCGGAATACTTGCTCCTCTTGTCAATGACCTTTTTGCAGTGGGTCCTAACCTTCTTCCCACACGATTGAAAGAGATCTCTGCTACGATTCTTGCCAGTGTTGTAAACTCTGGAGAAGACTTCTATTCCATTTCATTTGGACCTGATCACCAAACTCTGGTCTCAGAGGATATAGTTCGTAATCTACTCCATCTTATAAGTAACACTGGTCCAGCCATAGAGTGCAAACTACTACAAGTTCTTGTTGGACTTACTACTTCTCCAACTACAGTTCTGAGTGTTGTGTCTGCTATCAAAAGCTCTGGTGCCACAATCAGTCTAGTTCAGTTCATTGAAGCACCACAGAAAGATCTGCGTCTGGCTTCCATAAAACTTCTTCAGAATTTGTCTCCTCATATGGGTCAGGAACTAACTGATGCACTACGTGGCTCAGTTGGACAGCTTGGAAGTCTAATAAAAGTCATATCAGAAAATACAGGGATCAGTGAAGAGCAGGCAGCGGCAGTCGGCCTTTTAGCCGATCTACCCGAAAGGGACTTGGGCCTCACAAGACAGCTACTAGATGAAGGTGCCTTTGTGATGGTCATATCCAGGGTGATTGCCATCAGACAGCGAGAGATCAGAGGCAATCGCTTCATCACACCATTTCTTGAAGGGCTTGTGAAGATTGTTGCAAGGGTTACTTATGTCTTGGCTGAAGAACCTGATGCCATTGCACTCTGCCGTGACTACAACCTTGCTGCACTTTTCATTGACCTGCTTCAGTCGAATGGACTGGACAACGTGCAGATGGTATCTGCCACAGCTCTGGAGAATCTATCCATAGAGTCAAAAAACTTAACCAAATTACCGGAGGTGCCGCCGCCCAGCTATTGTGCTTCGGTGTTTTCATGCTTCAGCAAGCCGCCAGTGATAAGTGGATTGTGTAGGCTCCACAGAGGAATATGCTCTTTGAAGGACACGTTTTGCCTGTATGTAGGGCAGGCAGTGCCCAAGTTAGTAGGGCTACTGGACCACACAAATGTGAATGTGGTTGAGGCAGCACTGGCTGCATTATCGACTTTGATAGATGATGGAGTAGACATAGAACAAGGGGTGGCAATTTTGGTTGAAGCAGAGGGAGTGAAGCCTATACTTGATGTGCTACTTGAGAAGAGAACAGAGACATTGAGAAGGAGAGCAGTTTGGGCAGTGGAGAGACTGTTGAGAACGGATGATATAGCCTGTGAGGTTTCTGCAGACCAGAATCTGAGCACTGCACTTGTGGATGCATTCCAACATGGTGATTATCGAACTAGACAGACCGCTGAGCGTGCTCTCAAACATGTTGATAAGATACCAAACTTCTCAGGAATCTTTCAGAACCTAGGATGAATTCATTTTGCACTGTTCTCTTCATCGTCATCACAAAAATTTGTATGTAATTTGTATTGTGCCTAGCAGTTTTGGATTGTATCTATGGTTATCCTTTTACTATATGCATTTATCCAACTACAGTTGGGGATTCCTGTATACACCTACGTTGCCCATTCTTTTACGAGCTCTTCATTTGTTGCTCCTTTTTTTCTCCATCTTCTTTCTTTTTACAACTTCAGTCACCATCTCTGAACTAACATTTTTATCTTTTCCATTATTTTAAGTATCATTTTTTGTTACATCAATGTTGTCTTTTGTGCATATGAATCATGATTTTGATAATATCGCAAGTAATTTTTTTAATAAAGTAAATATTTATCTTTTTCGTTTACTGAATGTTTTTCAAAACTATCAGATATCAGATATAAACTGTCACATTCAATAAAACATACAAGAATGAAATGTAGAGTTACCCGAAAGGTATGTCTTTCTGATCGTCGTAAGAAAAATTAAAATTACGGCTGAATCGAAAATAAAATAGACATCAGTGCGTGATTATTTCAAGGAAATATAAATTTGTTAGAATTATGGACATTTGAACTATATTATTTATAAGAAATAATTGTCCCGAGTGGTTTTCTATTATTGTGTTGAATTGTTTCTTTAAAACATACACGTATATCATATATTTTAAATGCTCACTATTTTAAAGAAAGACAAGTCTCACTATTTATTTAAGAGTCTATTATTTTTTAATTTTCAATAATTATAACTAATAATTATTATTATTTATCGTCATTTGATTTGGTCTATAAGACGTTAGGTAAAAAATTAAAAAATGATAAAAACACGTATAAGATATTTAGAACTTAACCAATTTCTTTTTATATCCTGAGACATAAGTAACAGCTTCCTCACTTCAATTAATAACAAACTTTAACCACAATAACTTTAATTAAAAAATATAAAAGTTTTTTATACTAAAATAATTTTAATAAAAACTCAATTGAAACTCCTAAATGTTGTGAACTTATGAAAATTAATAGAATTTAAGTGCAATTACCACAATTTCGGGAAAATATTATACATTTATCCGTGGTTATAATTAGTTTATGATCGGAAATATAGCTAAATTACCTTTTAAATATCACATGAAGCAGATATTTTTTCCAAAATGTCTTCTTTTATGCAATTATTAAAATTGACCCCCAAAAAGGTTTTATTTTATTATAGATGTTGAAAAGAATGTGTATATAAAATAAACACATTGCCAAAATGATTTTTTCGCTTGTATTCTATTATGCTCCTGCATTAATATTTCGAACTTGTCTAGTCGTTGTCCACACGCATAACAGTGATTCAAACATCTCAGATCCCATTGGCCATTTCAGATCCTTTACGACCAAGTAGTAAAAAATTGAACTTTGCCTTTTTAAATAATAACCAGGGTAAATATCTCAACTTAAGCACTCAAACCGAAAATATTCATGAGAAAAATGTATTAGGGGGGATTTGTTAGAACACAGAAACAGGTTTTTATATTGTCAAGATTTTGGAACTATTTGCTGATATACGAGAATACTACTTTCTTTCATGTGTTTTCATGTGTTTTCATGAGAATTTCAGTAATAGAAGTAGACGATGCAGAGATTCACAAGAAAATCTCCGACAACTTTTCCGGCAAACATTAGCATAGACAGATTTAAGGCTGCAACAATGCACCTAATATCACACATTATATACTCGATTCCATCATTAAGCCAATTCCCTGGCCCTGGGATTATGTCTTCTTCAAAATTAAGACATCTAACTTGGATTGCATGAGTATAGAGATATGACAAAGTCATAACGAGACTCATTGGTGCAACTAGTTATAACACAAACCCATAACTCCAGAAACACGATGGATGGGAGAAATAATACAAGAGCAAAGTCAGTGTGGAATTCAACTTTTATGATTGGTGAGAAATGAATTAAATAAAAGGTACATGAGAAGCACAGAAACAGAGAATCACGGAGCTCGGAAGATTTGCTCATATACAATTATATGCAGCAAATATAGAGTAGGACTTACCGGTCATGCTGCATCTCAAAACAGGGAGGGAAGATCTAAGATTCTGTTGTTTAGCATCATACATGCACAAAGGATTTCAAAGGTGTAGCACTGCCACAGATTTGGTCAAGCAGGAAGAACCATCGAGCTCATGAGTAACATGGTTCCCTGAAATATGGTTCCATTTTGTGATATCAGACACATCACAAACAGTGAAAAAACCTAACACCCGACCAAATATTTTGAACATCTCTACCCCAAAAATGAGGTTTTTATCCGACAGAAAAACAGCACTCCAGTCCATTGGGGCATCAGGATGAACTGAGGCTTCAGTCCAGGTAAGATACGTGAGATCCAACTCCCATAGTTTTCTAACAGCCTTGTTTCGTTGCCCAATTTGACCATCCCCTTCACACCAGGACACGGAAAACATGAAAAGGCGGCCACTAGAAGATACAAGTATGGGGTAGTATTCGTGTACACGAGGCGGGATTGGAGTGGTTTGAATTCCAATCCATAAGCCTCGTTCTATGTCATATGCTGCAAGCTTGTCTGTTTCAGAATAAACATAAAACATCCTGCCACAAACAATTCCAGAACGAGCAACCCCAAAATCAAAAGGCAATCTTGGGATTTCAGTCCATTTATTTGACACAGAATCATAGATTTCTCCAGAGTCCAGAGGCTCATCCCAGGATCCCAAACCTCCTACAGCTATCAACAAGAACCTTTTACTGCCCTTTGAGCTTGAATGGTCACTTTTTTGTCTAACGAATTTGTATGCCTTTCGACTGGGCAAAGACAAAGCTTCAGTCTCATTAATGGAAGATCTGCAGTGACGTCTCAGTGAAAGCTTGTGAGGATCTTCATAAACATCTGAAATGCCACCAATCCTTGATCTTGGAAAGCGTCTATCCTGCCGGCTTTGATGACTTTGGCAAGTTGGAAAATCCAAACTGACCTCAGAGACTCCTAATATAGGATTTGATCTAGCATATTTCATGTACGGCATTTTACGCCAAGATTTTGTCAATGGACTAAAAACAAGAACCCCTTTGTGTGTCCTGTAAGAGCTTCTATCCACTTTCCCAAAGTTAGTGAGGCTAGAACACCCTCCAACAATGAAGATATCATCATGTATACCAGTAACAGAGAACAAAAACCTTCCTCGGAGAAAATGAGCATCAATCCTGTGCCACTGATTCAGAGACACGTCCAGTGCATGTATCTCACCAGAACAAAAGCCATCTTTAACAGCACCAAACAGAAATAACCATGGACTCTGATAGGAACCCTCCCTTCTCATTTGGAGAAATCTAGGAGTGGTGGTCAAGGACCTCCATTTTTTGCACACAAGTCGGGCATTCATGAGACTTGTCAATGGGAGCCTAACCAAACACATTTCAAGAATATCATCAGGAAGAAAGATATGCATTCTATTGTTTGTCAAAAATTCTTCAAGCTCTGAATTCTTTCGGTTGTGTCTCCTCCAAAACCTGTCCTTCACCCCATATGAAAAGCAATCTACAGCAGTTTCTTCAGGGCCACAAATTGGCTTATATCCCTTTCCCTCGTCACTGGCACTAGATCTCCTTCTACTGTTTGAATCACCAAAATCATCACTGGTGTCAGCACCTACCTTGCAGCCCCCACCTCGTCCATAAAGATTTAAGCATCTTAAAGAAACTCCATTCACATCATCATCTTCTTCCCCGGTACTCCTGTTATTCTTCTTCTTCAACCTATGACTGAAACTCCTAACAAGTCGCTTTGACACACTCAAATTCTGTAAATCTTGACAATAAGATTCGTCTGCCCCCAATCTTCCAGAAAACATTATGCTCACTAATTCTTCACAAAAAAATATACAACACCCATCGCTATCTGGCAAATTTGCGTATAGAGCAGCACGCAAGCCCCCCTTCTACGATTCATCAAATCAAAAGAAAGAAAAAAATACAGATTTAAGCATTGTCAAGGAATAGAAGACACATACACACACTCCTTGCAAAGCCACTAGGCATTAATGTCTCGGTTAACTCTTCACATCTAAACCCCAGAATTTTATAATTAAAACAAAAGGGAAAACGAAAGTGATCCTGAAAATAAAAATAAAAAAGGGATTTTTACCTGGCAAAGCCAATCAATGAGTCCAGATCCTGAAGGAAAACGTACAAGTATGATTAAAATTGGCAGTTTAATAGGAAAGTAACGGTATGTGATGTCGGAAGAAGGTTGTGAGAGAGTGATTACAGTAAATCCCTGTGATGAGTGTGAACAGTGAGTTGTAGCATATATTTCGCAGAAGCAAAGACATTGATTTCTTAGAGACAGATAACTTTGTGGTTTGACGAATCTAACACATAACGGAAACCTCACAGAATTCCAAAGACGGAAAGAGAAAAAGGAAAAGGAAAAGAAAGAAGACTTACATTGCAATGCAATTGGGAAAGAAATGAAATGAATCACCAATTTCTTACTCCATTGGAAATGCTTCTCTTATACCTACCCCAACTTTACCTTTTCCATTTTATGCCTCACATCCAAAAATCAAACAAAAAAATAATAATAATAACAATAATAATTAAATAAATACAAACAAAAAATTTGGACAGTAAACAACAATGTTCTGGCTTGATTGGTTGGGACGAGAATTTAGTAAAGCCGCTGCAACACTGAAGAAAAGCGACCCGTCGATTTCTCCTTTTTAATATTTATATTATTATTTTTTATTTGCTAATTTTTTTTTCCTAACTTTTTCTTTTCTTTTCTTTTTCTTTTTGCTTTTTTCCGCACTCATACGCTGCTAACATGTTTTGTAATGATACATCTAATAAAAAAAATGTCATGTAATAATAATAACTCTATACTCAGCATTCAATTCCCCATGTGTGTGATTTAATGAAGCCACGTTTCAACTTCAACGGTTACCCTTCACTTCACTCTCTGCAACGTTCTGGCTTTCTCTCTCTTCTAGGTCAGAATTAAAGTAAGTATTGGTAAATTTTGAAGAAGAAAAAGGCTAAACCCTAAATTACAAAAAAACATGGGTATGGGTTGTTTTGAAAAAGATGATGAATCAGGAACATTTATATCAAATTGTAGAATGTTTTTGAAACAAATTTAATTACGTTTTTACCAAACTCAAAATTCTCGTATGATCAATATTTTGAATCTAAATTTAATCTCGTCAAGATACAACTGTTAATCTTAATAGAGTTAAATATATTTATAATTCTTAATTTTGAATAAAAATTAATTAACTTTTTTTTTTAATTTTGATCTAATTCAGTCTCTTAATTTAAAAAATATGTGAATTTAATTTTTTGAATTAAATTTTATTAAATTTATTTAATATTTTAAATATATTTTTTGATATTATTTGAGTTATTTATACTTTTTTATGTATTTTTTTTTTCATGTTAGTTGAAACATGTAGGTAAAATCTCAAATAAATTTAATAAAATTTGATTAAAAATATTATATTTATATAATTATAAAGATAATAGATTAAATTAATCTAAAGTTTTAAAGATGGATTAGTTTTAATAATTTTAATTTTAAGTAAAAATTAAAGAACTAAAAAACATATTTAATTCATTTTGATATTATATTGTAATTTGTGAAATTGAACACTTTTATAAGTTGTGTTATCAATATAAACATAGTACTACTATTATGTTAGACAAATCAAAACATCTTTCGTTAAATCAATAAAGTTGTATTATTAAAGAAAATTATAATAATATTAGATCAATTTAAAATGCATGTGTCCAATTTCTTAATTTCAAATAAAAATTCATTTCAAGCTTCTTCTTTTTCTCATTTCAAGTTTCTAATCAATGAGAGGAGAAAAGTGATAAATACCTGTTATAAAAAAAATTATTCATAAAGGTAACAATGCTAAATTGAAAATATATTAGTATAACCCAAGAACTTTCGGTGTTACTTTAGAAAATGATGATTAATTAATATATAACTTCAGATATTATTTAATTAATTTAATACAAATACTACATGAAATGAAGTATAAAGACAATAATGAAAAGTAAATTATAGTCGTTTAAAGTTAAAAATTAAATTTATTTAGCAATTTTTTAAGTTCAAAATTATTTTGAAACCATTTGTTTTGTCTTACACCAATTATTTTGGGATAAGAGTGAAGAAGACGTGAAATTTATTGTTAAAAGTTACTTTAGTAAGTCTTTTTTCTTTCTTTCTCAGAGCTACTTTTTGCATTTATTTTTATAGAAAAAAAAGAAAAACTCTTTAAATTTTTAAGAGCTTACTAATTTATTTATTTTAACAAACATACTTTTCTTCGAATTTGTTTCACTCGAGCTTTTCTTTTAATTACTAAAAAAATCATTTTTTTAGCACAGAAGACTACACATAAAGATCTGTTAATTTATCTATTTTTCATTTACATCATCCTTTTTGTCTTCCTAATTCGGGATAGAAATGATATTATAACATGCATATATAGTAAAACTATACGTGCAGATTGCTATATTTTTTACAGTGTATAGGAGAAAACATGTATACTATTCAGCATTTAATGTAATAGTATGTAGTAGTTCTAGAGTTCAGGTCAAATGTCATATTCTGTGCAATTAATTTACACATGACAAAACTTTTACTCAATTAAGATATGTAAGAAAATGTGAAGTAGTGTATGATAATAGTATATCAGAAAAAAAAATATGCCACTGCTGGCAATAAATTCCCAAACAAAAGGATACAGAAACTAAATTCAACAGACTTCTATTGTATGTATATCATACCCTACAACAACTACACAAATCACTGATAACATCAGATTATGTATGTATATATATGTGTTAATTGTTGTTGGTTAGAGACGAGCACAACAATATTAGACAAAACCATGCTTCGTACACTGAGAAATGTTGAGAATTCTTCACTCTAAAAATTGATAATCCTTTGTGATAGTTTTCTCATGGAGAACATTGACTTTTGTGAATGCAGATAGATTAGTTAACCCACGACAGTTCTGGTTAAAGTTTGGTATATGGGATGTTATGGGTAACTAAGAAGTTGAGCTAACAGTTCTTACACCTGACACGGTTTTGGTATAAAACTCCCACATGCAACATCTGCAGCATACGCTCAAAAAACATCCCTAAACACTTGCAAAGTTCATGTCTTCAACCATGACTACTTTCGGTTTGTCAACAGTGGTTTTTTCAGTTCTTGTTCTAACATTATTGTCTGCAAATAGCCACACAACGGTTGTCGGAGCCCGCAATCTTCTAGAACCAACATTATCTAAGCCAGAAATGCCACAACTTCCCAATGTTCCTCAGTTACCTAAGGTTTTAGAAATACCCAAAATTCCTGAGTTACCTAAACTTCCTGAAATAACCAAACTTCCTGAGTTACCAAAAGTTCCAGAATTACTCAAAGCTCTTGAGTTACCAAAAGTTTCAGAATTATCCAAAGTTCCTGAGTTACCTAATGTTTCAGATTTATCCAAAATTTCTGAGTTATTTAAGATTCCTGAAATAACCAAACTTTCTGAGTTACCAAAGGTTTCAGAATTACCCAAAATTTCTGAGTTATCTAAGATTCCAGAATTATCCAAAATTCCCGAGTTACTTAAGATTCCTGAATTTCCTAAAGCATTTCCAGCTACTCATCCTTGAGCTTGAATTATGTGTCTTGCAGTCTTGTCCTCTGGTCTATATTCCAATTCGTAGTTCATTTTGTTTGATGAATGTTAGATTATTTGTTGCAAACTACTTGAGTTGTTGTAATGGTTTACTTGTAGTTTTGAATCGTCCTAGAAGTTATGTTCAGTTTTAAAGTTGTTTAAATTTTTCATGTGTCAGTTGTTATGAATTCAATAAGATTAGTATCTAAAATCCAGTATAATTAACGTTCTAAATCTTGTGCTTTTAGTTTATGCTGCGTTATTTTCTTATTTTGACAGTTTCAATATATGTTCTAAATTCTTTAATGTATGATGAATATTATTATATTATTATCTCCATTTGCCACGAATAATTATGTTAAATCAGAAAGTTCAAGGAAAATTTAACACAATTAAAATTGAAGATGTAGCTTGAGAAATTAAAAAAAAAAAGTTATTATTTAACTTAAGAAAGGTGTTAATTACCTTAGAAATGATTTTAATTAAAATTTTACTTATTTAATAAATAATTAGGTATTAATATTTAATGAGTAACTTTGATTTTTTTTTTTGTGAAAGTTGTTTATTATTTAATGTATAAACTAAAAGATTTAATCAAGATTTAAACAATACTGTTTTTGATGAAAATATTAAAATTTGTTTATTAGATCGACATGGTTTTGAATATCTTCATACAAAATTTATATTTAACTGGAGAAGGAAGAAGTGAGGTTGAGAGAAGAAGATGGCAGGGTCAATGTCAATGTCAATGTTGCATCTCTGTTTCTTCATACTCCTCGGAATCTTAACAAGAACTTCTCATGCCGTTCATGACAAATGCGCCGCCTGCAAAGCCGTCGCGGTATCTATGCTATGCCGTCCTCATTTTCTCCCCAATCAAACTCAACATTGCATACATAATATAGATCCATTCAATCCTATCTTCTGTATCACTTTTATTAGATGATGTTATCGAATCACGTATCGTGGATTTGATCTCATTCTTCATTTGATATGCTGTGGTAAATCATTTGGTATTTAGGTCTGACGATGGTTTGCACCTTGCAGGAGGAGCTGGAGATTGGGCTTTCCAGCGTAACGTCTTTCTTTGTTATTTTTTTTTTTCAATTATATGGTTCTTTATTTTTTGGTTACATGATCGAATATCGAGACATTGGGTTTCCGCAGGAGAGGCCACGGAATCACTTGGATATGCGCCATCGCTTGGACTCCAAAGGTCAGCGTCAAGGAAAGCTAATCGATTACACGTACGTATATCTAAATATGTGCTTAAATCCTCTTCAATTTCGACGCCTTTATTAATTATGGGAATATGTTTGGATTGATGCAAAATGAGGAAAGGGAGTGCAATGGGATGGGAAGATACAAGGTTCCGTTCCTTTCAATTGGAGGGTGTGAGATGAATCTTCTTTTTGGGTTTGGCTCCTTGAGTGAGGAAAATGTAGTTTAGGTGATGGAGTGCGCTTTCATTATTGATTATTGAAAAATCATTGGTTGAAATTGTAAACGATTTTAGAGTTTATGTATGTATTTGATTACATCATATTTCTCGAAGTTAATTTTGTAATTAACGATAATGACTTGGGAAGGTATTATATTCTTTGAAGTGCACTTTCATGATTCCATTTCAGTTGTATATTCAAACATAGCCTGGGGAATTGTTAAAATTAATAGTGTGGTAGAGAGTTGTTGGCAGCTGAATCTTCTACCTTTTCATTTTTCAGAATTCAATCTGACATCTGACACTGAAACATTTGGTCATCTGATTTCTTCAAACAGTTGTATTTACATCTCTGTATGTTGATCTCTCGAATATAAATGTTTTTGCTCTAGTCTTTTACTAACATCTTATGGCTGCATAACTTTGAAACTGTTTTATACAATATACAGAGTTAGCGAGCTAAGAGTTGTTGAACTTCTTGATGGCCTTTGCGAAAAGATGGAAGATTATACACTCAAGGTGCTTAGTTATATACTTGTTCTTAACTGTTCCAGTTTCTAAATCGGTAGCTTTTCTGCTGTGTTAGTGTCTACATTTCTGAATTGAAATTTACTTATAAATGCATCATACTTTTTTGTCGAATCAACTACTACTCCCTTTCTCCCTTTGCTTATGCTCATATTTAGATACTCTAAAATGTGTGTTATTGACTTTCTATTTCCATCTATTTTGCAGAAAGATTCAAGTACCCATGAATGGATCAAAGTGAATAGCTGGGATAACCTCACAAGTATGTAATCTATTTCATCCACCGTTGATCTAGCATACTCCACTACATGGAATTTCTCACTCTGTTTTACTGCACATATATTTCCAGATGAAGTATTCAAGTTTTCATGGCAAACAATGACTGGGGACTGTAGTTTAGAGAACACCCATCCTTGATTTTAATTTTGTGACTGTCTTTTCTAGAACTTGGGGCTTTATGTACCCAACAGTGCTGTGAAATATTGAACAATTAAAAATTACAAGAGATTAACGATTACTTTACTTGTTGGGGCAAAATGTATAGGGCTGTTAAATTTAAGTTATTCTAAACCTTCACACAAACAAGACAAGAATATATATTTTATTAGCATTTTGAATGCTATTCTTGAACTACTGGAAAGAAGAACACTGCAATTTAATAGGATTATTCTAGTATTCAGTATTACGTTTGTTTGAGATGTTTGCATGATAATCTATCAACATGTCACTTAGGATACATACTTATGTCTTGTTTTGAAATCCTTATTTCAATGTGTAGCGTGTTTATGAGGGCTTGGGTATTATGGAGTGCCCAAGTACCACATCAAGTAGTATGGATGTTTGGTAGAGTACTTGATAGGAACTTAACTTGGATATTATGGGGTGTTCAAGTGACATATTGAATTAAGTAGCATGGTGGAATATTAAAGTGTTTTTTTTCCCTCTTGTTCGTTAGTTCTTTTAGGGTGTTATCAGTTGGTATCTGAGCTAGTTTTTGGTAATCCAGAAAAGCCTGCCTATAATCTGCCTATTGGTATCATTATGGGGTGCCTGAGTCCCATATCTAGTCGAGGTATTTGAGTGTTTTGTTCGCTCCCTTAATAGTAGCTTTTGAGAGTGGGTTTCCAAGTGCTTGGGGTACTTATCATTTCTTAAGTGGCTTCATTCTCCATTGATGGCTATCTTTTAGGGAGACTTCCCAAGATTTTGGGTACTTATCACATGTTCTATATGATGGGTATTGTTCACATCTAACTGTATCAAACTAACCAGTGAACTATTGCAGTTGTTGCATTGTGACGGCTATTCCAGTGTTGGCAATTTAGTTATTTGCTTCTTCTTTTTAATGCAGCAAATAAAAAACTAGAGATTTTTTCATTTTTCATGGTAGTTTTCTGAACAATACTTTTTCCTAAATTCTTCTCTTGGCAGATAAGCAAGAGGCTCGGGCATATTCAAAAGATATATCTTCTTATTGTGGAAGGTAAGAAGCAACAATCTGTATACTTTTACTTTTTAACAGGGACATTTATGGATCAAAGCTTTGCCTTTATCTTTGCAACAAGTGATGTTAAAAACTTTTGTATTACATTTGTGCACAAACCATCTCTGCACCATGACCAGATTACTTGAAGACACAGAGGATGAGGTGAATTTTCATGTTCTGTTTTTTCAGCATTTGGCGCATATGTATTCATCTGCGTTATATGGCAATGCTGATTTTTTTTTTGTCCAAATGATGCCTATCTTGCAGTTGGCTGAATTGATCAAAAAAGGATCCGTTAAAGTAGGAGGTGTGAGCAAAGTTCTTTGTCAAGATTTAAGCAAACATTGCAGTCAAACGAGGTAACTTCAAAGATAGTTTTGGGGATTTATCTTTACTCATTGGTTTGCTTGATAAGCCCAGACATACATTTGTTGAATTCATATTTTGTAATGGATTTGGGTGTTCAATAATATATTTGTTTATTGATTATGAACATTCTAACTTTTAGCATTAGTGAGGTGGCCTCCCTTCTGCCATATCTTCGTAGTAATAGTGTTTCTAGGAACAAATTAGAATGCATCTTTGACGATTGGTGGTAGTGACGTTTGACCCATGTAGGATAGTTTCGCACTTTGAAGGTCACCCACAACTAACTTTGAGTGGTTCAGATTATAATAAAATAATGCTTTTGATATTGTCATTATTAGCTTTAAATCTTGCTTTGGATTTTTTATTTTATTTTCTGAAGTCTCAAAATCCATTCACATCAAACACACACCATATGAAGATGACTAGAAATGGCTCTATTCATACAGTGTATCACATGCGGCAGAGGTCGATGACGATGAGATCGATGAAGAGCTCTAAAACCATGGAACTACGGTGGCTGAAAATACCAGCTTTTGGGGCAGTTACAAATTGACAGAATGGATGGGATAATTTGTTACTGTTGGAATTGTCTTTGTTCTCGTTACAGTGGAAGACTCTTTCAGCAATATGGTGGACCGAACTCTAATTATTAATTTAAGGGTGCTGCTCTGCGCTCTAAAAATCTTATTTTGCTTTCTGTATTTTATAGATATTTGGTAATACCAAGTAATTCAGATAGATATTACGTCTACTATTAAATAATAGATACATAACTGACAAATCGACTGAGTTTCTTTTATCTTATTTTTAGTGGACCCGACACTACGATATAAAATTTAAGAACTCTGACCCTTATCTCTTAAAATTAGTTGCACTTCACGTCACATATTTATTTCTTCTTGTTGAAACAGTAATTCAGTTCTTATGTAAGAAGTCAGTTCTTTTTTTATAAGAAATGATGTTATGTTACAACCAAAAAAGTCATCATAATAAGTTCACATCTTTAATCAAAATTGGAGACGGCCATGTAACTTTGACCAAGACATTAGTGAAAAATGTTTGATCCGTATCCGAGATCAACACATTAGACCATTAATCTGCAAATTTTTAGCCTATTCTCTAAGATTCAGCAGTTAGTATGGTGCTCTGATCATGATGTGTGTTGTCGGAGTATACCTATTACCGGCTCACACTGCTTACTGGTTAAACCTTTCACCGACCTTACCGCTCCCTTTATTCTTTATAATGTCAGGGAAGAATAAAGAAAAAATAAAATCCACCTATCTCGCATTTCATATCACTCGAATTATACCACTCTTGAGAGCAAAGTAATCGGAACTGATGAATATAATCCCCGAAACTGAAGAAACTTCTGATCTCATAATCTCATATGTACAACAAGACAGATCTAACGGGAGTTAGGAAGGTGAACAGATAAAAATAAGCTCGAAATGTATGGGGCAGCACTGGAGAGCCAAGATCCTCCAGCAACCTCCATAACAAAGATCAATAGCAGTTTTTTATACACACAACAATGTCCATGCTTTCTAAACCTAAACAACCATAAGGAAACAACACTAACAATCCAACACACCCTTAAGTAAATTGAGGCCTTCTGCTGATATACTCCTCCTGACCCGAGAAGGAGGTGTCTCTATCCTAGGAGGAGGATCTGGGGAGAAACATATCACTATAACAGTCAAATTATCACACGAGTTTCGCTTTAGAGCCTCTCTGACCAGCTCTCTTGAACACCTTTGAGGATCATTATGTATCATTAGTTCTTTCCTTGCCATGGTCACAGCACATTGGTTACTCATTACATCCCATAGGCCATCACAGCCCATGATCAAGAACTCGTCATCCTCAGTGAGGATGATTTCCTGCAGCTCTGGCTCAGAACTCAAGGGGCAGGCAGAACCCTTTGGACCCTTCATGTGCCAGTCTCCCAAGGCACGGGAAACAGATAACTGCCCATTCAGGTATCCATCGTACACCACTCCACCAAGTTTCTCAATCCTTAGCCTTTCCGAAGTGCAATCTGGTTTCTGGTCTTTTGACATCTCAATTGCTCTACCTCGCCTCCCCAGTACAGCTCTGCAGTCCCCGGCATTGGCAACTATCATGGTCCTGTCCACGATGAAATTTCACAACTTTAGAAAGATTGCCAATAAAACTGCATTTGCATTGCAATGCAGTCTCCACATGGGGCAATAACATGCATGTTGAAAACTCGTAAGTTTCTTACCCTAACTTTTGCCTCCCATGTCCAAAGAGCAAAACAACAAATCACTTCTATAGTTACTAAGAATTTTAGATTCGGTTCCTTTATAATGGTTATGTGAGTATTAAGTAACTTCAGTCATTGACGAGAGAATCAATCTTCAGAATTTTTTATCTGATTCCTTTATATTCAGGATATAAGGATAAGGTAAATAACTTCAGTCATTGATGAGGATATCAATTTTTTATATTCTAAGCTCTAATACATTTATGATTTACCAGGTATTTGTTCGTAATAATTGAGTGTTAAATGTCTTCATCAACCACTATTTTGATTTACTTACTTTATACTTGAAAGTGAATTGTTAACTTTAAAGGAGTAAGATACCGGAATATTTTCCAGAAAAGTTGATTAAATAAGTCCCACTATAATGTTATCGGTTACTGCTAGGGTGATGATGAACCGACTTCCACATATAAAATTTACAGTATAATCTAAAAACCGATATGCTAGGAAGGCAACTAATGCTTGCCATCATCAGTGAACTGATACAGAATCATTGATATTAAATAATTAATATGATCATAATCGAAATTGATTACCTTCCGGATACAAGAGCAGTTAAAGCAGTGGTCCCAGAGGAGATATCAAGAGAACTTGAATCTGCAAATGCATAATCTGCTTTCAGAAACGCACTTGTAATTGCGTGCCCCACGCAAGTTGGAAAATGGGAGTCCTCAACTATGAATTTGAGGATGTTATTTCTTATGAACAAAGCTGCGTCTGTACCTCCATGGCCATCAAACACCTGAACAATTAGTAGAAGTTAATCAATTGCTGAACTTAACATGAAAACAATATAGTGTCTAGATCATACCATGTGAGCAACAAAATGAATGGAACAAAACAGTATCTGCTAGTAAAGAAAAGAATTATCTCCTATGGTCTACATAATTCATTTGTCCCAGTTACCAGCTTAGTCAAACGTAACGGAAATCGAACATCAGCCATATTTCATCTCATCAATAATAATATTGCAGTATGAGAAAGGTTGGATTGTAAAACACAACTTTCTGATGAAACATAAACTTAGAGGATAAAGAAGAACAAATGCATCAAAGTAACATGTAAAGCAGTGTGTTAACCAAAAAAATCAGGCTTTATCACAATAGCATGTGTGTAAATTATAAAGCCAGGTAAAACAAACAAAACATACGAACCCCATAAAAAGCTCCAGGTAAAGGAATAGTTGAGGCGGGACCTATATGCTGAATAAGATCATCAATGCATACGTGTTCGTCTTCCATATACTGTTTGGGTCCTCTTTCAGCACAACTTCCTGACCGAAATATTGGTAGAAATTCCGTCTTTTCTTCAGAAGATGACTTTCCAGTAACCCCCACATCCAAACTCTTAAAAAAGTGGAGAGAAACAGAAAAATCAGTAATCAACACTTTCCAAATTACGAAATGGAGAAGTAAATTATATTGATGTTAAAAACAAAGTGAGGTTCCAGAAAAATTTGGAAAGAATAACAAACCTTTACAGC